CGGGCCTGAGAAAGGTGTGCGACAAGACTCGACGCGCCCCAGGAGGCACGCGACAAGCCCTGGAGAAGCCTGGAATCTTAGGGGGTGCCAAGATGCCCCAAGACGGCCCCGAGACGGCTCAGAGACGCTCAAGAGAGCGCCCAGACGCCCCAAGAGGACTCCAAGCGAGCCCCAGGATGGCCCGAGAGGCCTCCAAGGCAGGCCAGGAGGCTTGCGCGACGGCCCAGGAGGACCCCCAGGTGAGCCCCAAGAGGCAAAACAAACGTGCGCTGGGTTTCTTAATGAGTGTAGAGGGGTACCCCCCAGACGGGGGTCAACCTCGCCTCGTCGTCGCGCCGCGACGGGGGTCGGAGCGCATTCGACGCGCGGTGGCTGCCCGAGACAGGGGTCGATGTGGGGCTGTCGGCGGGGGTGACGCCCCCCCCGACGCTTATTAAGAAACTTGGAGTATATGTTGTCAATGTCCATTCTTTTCGTTTGCACAGTCTCCAAGAAGGCTGTACAGGCCCCCAGGATGGCCCCCAGACGCCCCTAGGAGGGCTCCCCAAACGGCCCAAGACGGCCCCGGGACGGCCCCAGAGGCACCCCAGACAGCCCCGCGAGCGCACAATAACGGCCCAAGATGGCCGCAAGACGGCCCCAAGATGGCCCGAGAGGCGCCCCAGACGGCCCCAGATCGCCCCAAGAGGGCCCCAGAGGCACCCAAGATGGCCCAAGCCGAGAGACCCCCAGGGCGACGAAAAGAGGCCCCCAAACTGCCCCCAAGCCTTCGATTCTTCTCCTTCAGAGCGTGAATTACCTACCCCGATTTCGCCTCCAGGAAAAACCAAGTCATACCACGCGCCTCCTCGTCAAGCGACCTGACCAGTACAGGCCGTAGTTTGGCATCGCTTGGTATCTCTTGGAAGCGAGGGTGGTCAAAAGCGAGGTAGGTTTGTTTTCCCCCTTTGGGGAGCGTCGACGACTGACGATCGCAGATCGAGGGGGAGGAGGAGGAGGAGGAGGAGGAGGAGGAGGAGGAGGAGGACGCCCAAAATGGCCCCCAAAGATGATAGAAGCCACTGAGATGTCCCGAGCATGACCCGAAGGAGGCCCCAAGAGTGTCCAGACACAATCAGACACACCGAAACGGCTCCCAACGAAGATCGATGGGATGAAGGATCCAGGGGAGGACGAGGAGGGCTCCCAAAATGGCCCAAAAGCCGATTGGAGCCACAACGACGCCCCGAGCATGCCCCCAAAGAAGGCCCCAAGAGTGTGCAGACACTCCGAAAGGGCGCCTAACGCGCAGCCCAAGTAAACCAAATGGACAGTTACTCCAGCGTCCTATCGGTGATCCTCCCGTGCACCCGGCGCCTGAGCGGCCCCAGTGCGGAGTCCACAGCATGGCGGGCAGATTCCGCGGCCGGAAGGCCGCGGGTCAGCCCTGGTCTCTCCTACATGGCCAGTGGATCTGCGTGCGAGAAGGGTTCACAGGGCCTCGCGTGCACAAAGTCGCCTCGTGTGCCACCACGGGGCCGAATCGCTGAGGCTCCCAGAGGCGCTCCAGAGGGGTTCCCAGACCGTCCAAGAGCGCTCCAAGACGGCCTCAGTGGGTCCCGAGACGGCCCACGAGGGCCCGAAGCCTTCCAGGGGGGGGCTCCACGACGATCCAAGAGGCCGCAAAGACGCCCCAAGAGGGCCCCGAGCGCACGCCAAAGAGGCACAAATCGTCAAATTCCTATGGGAAAACGTATATTTTCAGCATGCCCGCCTTGTGTGCTCCTCAGCGGCCCAGGACATGCCAAGAGGCCTCCCAAATCGCCCCAAGAAGACGCCAGCGGCCCCTAAGAGGGCTCCAAGACGGCCTAAAAGGGCTCCAAGACGACGCCAGAGAGTCCTGAAACGGCCTCACAGAACCCCAAGACGGCCCCAAGAGCTCCGAGGGAGCCCCAAGAGGCTCCCAAGACGGCCTCAGGCAGCCTCAAGAGAGCTCCAAGACGGTCCAAGGCCTCCCGGACGCCCCGTGACGGGCCAAAAAGGCCCCAAAATGTTCCAAAACGCTCCCAGAGCAGCCCCAAAAAGCTTAAGAATGGTTTGAAAAAGACCCCCACAAGGACCACCAAGCAGGCCCAGAGACGCCCACTAAAAGAGCGATCGGTGAAGTATAAAGCTCTTCTCACCAAGGCTCCCAAGAGCGAGCTGCAGCGTAGAGAGCTCTCCCAGGCACAGCTCGCAAAAGCGAGCGGTGACGTGACCAGCCCTTCACACAGGGGCTCTCAAAAGCGAAGGGCGCGAAGAGCAAGCGGTGACTTTTTTCTAGGCCCCAGGTGCTTTCAAAATTGTTCAAACCAGGGGGAGCAGACAAGCGGCGACAGGCAAACCGCAGACCCACCATAGCCGTCTCTGACGCTTCGAAGGCTGTCCAGGCGGACGTGGAGCGGAAGGCGGACGAAGAGGAGGAAACGTCCGCCGTCCAATTTTGGAAAGGCGGCCAGAAAAAGTCACCGAAGGCTTCGGGGTGACTTTTTCCTGGGCGGCGACCCAACGTGGAGGCGCGCCAGGGGGACTTGCTGATCGTGGACGAAGTCCACGGGTTCGCCCTAGTCTATATTCTAATGCCGGGGGCCGTGCGTGCCAGAAGGCTGCAGGCTCCATGATGTCAAAACCGCCCCGGGCTGGCTGCCGCACATGGAGGCTCCAAGTCACGCCATGAGGGCCCCAAGAGGCCCCCAAGACGGCCCCAGAGGGCCCCGGGACGCCCCAAGATGGGCCCAAGAAGCCGAAGATTGGCCCAAGACGGCCCGACAGGCGGCCACAATGCCCCACGAGGCCTCCCAAGAGGCTTCCCAGCAGGGCCCCGAGTGGGAGAAATCGTAGATTTCCAATGTGTTTTGCGATGTTCTTCGCCTTCTCCCCTTTTCGCCGTCCCTGCGCTCCAAGACGGCCCAAGAGGTCCCCAACGCCGCTGCAAGACCACCGAAGAGGCCCCCAAGAGGGCCTCAAGACGGGCCAGGAGGGCTCCCAGACGGTCCCCAGAGGCTCCAAGACGGCCCAAGGACGGCCCAGGAGGCGCCCAAGACGGCCCAAGCGGCACCCAAGACGGCCCCAAGAGCGGCCCCAGACGGCCCACGACAGCGCAAGAGGCGCCCACGCGGGCCTCCGACGGTCCAAAGACGGCCCAAGAGGCACCCCAGACGGCCCAAGACAAGCCTACGAGCCCCCCGGGCCCTAAGTGGCTTCAGATTTGCCTCCAGGAGGGGGGATCAGACGAGAGGCGACAGGCACCTCAGCTACAGCGCTGGGATCAGCGCGTGCGAGAAGGGCGAGCAGTGGCAACGGGCGCTGGCGCTGCTGAGCGAGGTGCGCGAGGCGAAGCTGGAGCCCAACGTCATCTCCTTTCTATGGCGGACATCAGCGCGTGCCAGAGGGACAAAACAGCGCATGTGCACAAGTGCGCCCCCTGGAGGGCCATCTTTCGACACCCCTCACGAAGATCCTGGCCCCCGAGCGTCACAGATCGAGCCCTCCGCCCAAAGACGCGCCGAAGTGACCATCAGAGGCTCCAAGGAGCGCCCAAGAGGCCCCCTGAGAGGCCCCGAACAAGGCCCAAGAGGCCTCCAAGAGCCTCCAACAGTCCTCCGAAGCATGCCCCCAGAGGCCAAAGTCCTTAATTGTTCAATGGTTTTTGAAGGAGCTTTGCCTTCTCGCCTTCTTGGCTAGCCGACGCTCCAAGACGGCAGCAGAGACCCACAAGACCGCCCCAGGACGGCCCAACAGGCCTCCAAGCGCGTCCCCAGACGGCCCAGGGAGCCCCAAGATGGCCCAAGAGGCGCCCAAGACGGCCCCAGAGGACCCCAAGCCAGGCCTAAGAGGGGGCCAACGAACGGGGAAAAACCCTGACATTCCGAGCCCTGGGCCCCCATACGCCCACACAAGGCCCCAAGAGCGCCCCAAGACGCCCCGAGGAGGGCCCCCAAGCGGCCCGAGTGCCCCGGGACGGCTCCAGAGGCGCCCGAGACAGTTCAAGAGATACCTAAGACAACCCGAAGAGCGCCCAATAACGGCCCAAGATGGCCCCAAGACGGCCCCAAGATGGCCCGAGAGGCGCCCAAGACGGCCCGACAGGACCCCAAGACGGCCCAAGAGGCACTCCAGATGGCCCAAGGGCCCCGAGAGACCCCCAGGAGGACGAAAATCGGCCCCCAAACGGCCCCCAAGAGGCCTTGAATGCTTCCTGTTGGGGAGCGTCTAACTTCCAGCGTCGTCTTGGGGACTTTTTGGACCCTCTGGGAGCCATCTCTAGGCCTTTTGGAGACGTTTTGGGGCGGTGCGCTCGAAAGGTCGCTTCGTGTCCTCGCATTGGGGCCCGTCTTAGGGAGTTCGTGGGGCCCTCTTGGGCCGTCTTGGAAGCCTCCTGGCCCGTCCCGGAGACTTCTTGGGCCGTCTCGGCGCTTTCTTGCGGGCCTCTTAGGCCGCGCCCACCGGTCCCATTCTCACCGCACTACCAGATAAAACTATCATTCGGCCCCGGCGAAGACAGGTTCAATTATCACGGCGACCCGCCCCGCAAAAGCTACTACGAGCACAGAGCGCGGCGTGAGAAACAGCCACATCATGTCGTGCATGGGTGTGCGTCGATTGATTCCGCCTCCACCACCGCGTTCCTGCCTTCAGGCCTGCTTGCCTGCATCCCTCGCCCACCTCCACCTCCAGCGGCCACCTCCTCCATCCATGCCGTCCCCTCCAACCCCACCCCCGCGAGGCCCGGAGACGCTCCACTTCCACGTCCACGCCATGGCGGGCAGATTCCGCGGCCAGAATGCCGCGGGTCAGCCCTAGTCAGCTACAGTGCTGGGATCAACGCGTGCGAGAAGGGCGAGCAGTGGCAGCGGGCCCTGGCGCTGCTGAGCGAGATGCGGGAGGCGAAGCTGGAACCCAATGTCGTCAGCTTTAATGCTGGGATTAGTGCGTGCGAGAAGGGCGAACAGTGGCAGCGGGCCCTGGCGCTACTGAGCGAGATGCGGGAGGCGAAGCTGGAGCCCGCCATCATCAATACCGGACATTTGCGCCTGCGAGAGGGGCGAGCGATGGTCACCCGCCCGGGGGCGCCGCCCGTGGGGTGACGCCGTCCCGGCCCGGGACAGCCCCAGGACGGCCCATGAGGGCCCCGACGGAGGCCTCGAGAGTCTCCCGGGACACCCCCAGCGAGCCCGAGAGGGCCCCAGGACGGGCTCGGAGGGCCCCACGAGCTCCCACGGAGCTCCCAGGGGACCCCCACGAGGGCCCCGAGGCCGCAAAACTATCGATATTCTCGAGGGCTTTTGACGTTTCTGGTGGTGCTCCTTCCGCCCGCCCCAAGACGCCCACCACGGCACCGCGGGCGTCCGAAATCGGGCCCATGCTGTCCGGGGGGCCTCCAAGAGAGTCCCCAAGACGGCCCCAGAGGCCCCCGTTCAGAGGCGCTGCCGGGAGCTCCCAAGAGGCTCCCAGAGGCTCTCCAGAGGCTCTCACAGAGCCCCACGAGGACCCCCTCCTGGGTATCGGAGGGCCCCCCCGCCGCTTCCCCGATGCCTCCGCTGGGAACAGCCTACTACAGCACGCGGCACTGCTGGCACGACAAGCAGCAGGCTGGACAGGAAGAAGGGGATAAGACGGAGGAGGAGGGCGAAAGGGGGAGGAGGAGCATGAGGACGAGGAGGACGGCAACGACGACGACGACGACGTCGACGTCGACGTCGACGACGACGACGACGACGACGACGACGACGACGACGACGACGACGACCACGACGACGACGACGACGACGACGACGACGACGACGACGACGACGACGACGACGACGACAGTGGCGACGACGCCGACGACGACGACGGCGGCGACGACGACGACGACGACGAGGACGACGACGACCACGACGAACGACCACGACGACGACGACGACGACGAGGATGAGGACGAGGACGAGGAGGACGAGGACGAGAAGGCCCCCGGGAGGCCCCTGGAGGTCCGCGTTGTTTCTGTTGTTGCTGGAGCTGCTGCTGCAGCTGTTGCTGCTGCTACTGCCGATGGTGCTGGATCTGCTGCTGCTGCTGCTGCTGCTGCTGCTGCTGCTGCTGCTGCTGCTGCTAGCGCTGCTCCAGACGCCGTCAGGATCATCAAGCAAACAGCGCACCCTGAAGCAATAAGCAGCAACGAGTGCATGCTCAATCCTCTGGCATTCGTGGACGGTAGGGCTGACCCGTGGACTCCGTCCACGACATCTTTCTGGAATGGTTCTCGGAGGAACGACGCAGATTGCACCGAAAATCTACAAACTCGGCGGCGGCTCGGGCGGCGGCAGCGAGACCGCGCCTCCGTGTCCGAGCTCTTGCAGCGCTCCAGCAGCTTGGCCCTGGCGCACTGCTCGTCCACCCCCCTCGTATTGAGGGCAGTTTCGAAGTCTCTCGGAGATGTGCGTCGAAGTCGAAGCCCATCTGAGGCGCCTCAGGAGCGCCTGGGGAAGGGCTCGGGAGGCCATCGGGGAAAACCACCGAAAGCGCCGGGGAGCGCAAGGATCTACAGGGAGGGCCCAAGAGAGCTGAAAGAAAATTTGAAATTAAACCGCTGTTGGGTCGGCCATCACCTCCGGGCACGCCTTGACGGTGCGATCCAGTCGCATCGCCGCCAACGGGAGGGTTTGTTCGCCAAGTCCCATTCTGCTCGCCCAGAGGGTCTATCGGGCAAAGTGGGGCGGTAGCTGGCCTGTCAAACCCGGCGTTCGTCTTCTGCCCAAGCGGCGCGGGGCCCACGGGCCCCAGGGTTGGCGGCCCGCTGGGTTTCCTCTTGTTCGCCCACAGGTTTGGAGGAAGTCTCCAGGTGAACAGAATGGAGCAGGATAATGAATGTGGCAGACTTGTCGCAAGCTCCCAGCCCCCCAAGTGTTCGCCCGAAGGGTGTGGGGCCGTGTTGGCTCCCTCAAAGGGCCGTCTTGGAGCCGTCTAGGCCCGTCTTGAGGGCGCCGTTTGCCGTGATGGGGCCGTCTTGGTTCGTCGTGGGCCCCTCATGGGCGCGTCCGTAGGCCGTCCTGGGCCCATCGGGGTCCTTGTTGGCACTATCTTGGGGCTGTCTTGGAGCCGTCTGGGGCCGTGAGGGGGCCGCCTTCGAGTCGTCTTGGGCCCCTCCTGTGCGCCTCCTTGGGCCGTCCTGGGCCCAGCAGGGGCCGCGTGGTGGCAAAACACGGTGTGGTGCGAAGCACCTGTTCGTCGTGGGCCCCTCATGGGCGCGTGGGTGGGCCGTCCTGGGCCCATCGGGGTCGTTGTTGGCACCCTCTTGGGACTGTCTTGGAGCCGTCTTGAGCCGTCGCAGCGCGCCTTGGGTTGTGCTGGGGCCGTCTTGGCCCGTCTTGGGGCCTTCCTGGGCGTTTCCTCGGACCCTCCTGGGACTTTCTGGGGCCTCTTGGGGCATCCGACCGCCGAAATGGCGGGAAACGCAAAGGCTGTAACAATAAACAATGGAAAATAAACGATGTTTGCCAGCTGGGGCTGTCTTGCCATCTTGGCCCGTCTTGAGGCCCCGACCGGGCGCCTCCTTGGGCCGTCCTGGGCCTGTCTGTGGCCGTGTTGGCACCCGCCTGGGACCGTCTTGGAGTCGTCTTGGGCCGTCTCGAGCGTGCCTTGGGCCGTGCTGGGCCCGTCTGGGGCCGTGTTGGCACCCTAGTGGAGCCGTCTTGGGCCGTCTTCAGCGCGCCTTGGGCCGTGCTGGGGCGGTCTTGGCCCGTCTTGGGGCCCTCCTGGGAGCCTCCTGGGGGCGTTTTGGGTCCTTTTGGGGTGGCCTTGAAATCTTCCAGGGCTCCTTCGAGTGTCCGAAAGCTGACTTGGCGGCAAGCGGGAAATCTTTGGAAAAGCCTAGGACAAGAAACGATTTTGACCTCTCGGGACCCTCTTGTGAGGCCTCTTAAAGGCCTCTCGGAGCGCCTTGGCGCTCGCTTGAGTCGTGTCGTGCCCATTTGAGGGGCCTCGTGGACGCTCTGTGGGGCTTCCCGGAGCGTGCAAGGACCGTCTGGGGCCCTCATGGCGCCGTGGGGGGCCCTCATGGCGCCATCTGGGGAGCCTCCAAGGGTCCGGGAGCGCCCGAAGGGCTCCCGGAGCGCTCCGGGGCGCTCTGGACCGCTCCCCAAAAGACAAGCGGGCCCCAGAGCGTTGAAAGCAGCTCTTGTCGGCATGCGGTCTGGCCCATGGGCTCCGCGAGATGTTGGTGGGAGCTGGAGCCGAACGTCGACAGCTGCTCAGCGAGCTGCGGGATGCGATGTCAGAGCCCAAGGCCATCTGCAGCACTCCTGAGGGAACCGCGCGCCGGATATGGGCGCAGTGTGCCAGCTCCGACGCCGGCCCCGGACGCCGGCCCCGGACGCTCCAAGGACGCCGCAAGCGGCTGGCAAGAGACCCCGCGCCGCGCAGGAAGGCCCCACGTGGGCTCAAGGCGCTCCAAGGAGGGTCCACGACGCCCCAAAGGTTCCACGATGGCGCCACGGTGCCTCCGAGGGCCCCCGAGGCCGCTTCCCAAGCCTCCCTCTACGCTTCACTCTCGTTGCTCCTCGCGCCTCGCCTTTCTCCTGGATCCTCGCTGGGCCCTCGTTTCTCCCACCTCCGTCCTCGAGCCAGACCCCTCGCTCCTTGCTCTTCGCTCCCCTCTGTTCGATCCTGTCGCGAGCAGCAGGTTGCGCCAGCTGACTAGCAGGAGTACAGAGAATCAACACCCTGCAGCCTGAGAAGCAGAAGCAGCCAGCACGCAGCCCGCAGCAAACACCACGCGGCAGCACAGAAACAGCAAGTGGCAGCATGGAGCAGACAGCAGCACCCTGCAGCCGCAGGCAGCAATAGCAGAGCCGAAGACCGGGCCCGGCGTTACCATAAACGCCTTCCCGCAACAGCTCCGCCCTCTGGCAACGTGCCATTTCGGATAAATTACAAGGCCAGTATGCTACGGGCCACCACTGCTGTTGAAAGTAGGTTTCTTCTGTACTCCCAGATCCCAATCTACTTCAAGCGACTTCCATCTTCAAGGATCGGTATGTTTTTGCTGCGTTTTGGTATTATCCGGGAGGGCCTGAACACAATCTACTGCATCCGCCTTTTACTTCAGGTTTTGAGTTACTTCTTCCGACCGGCGTGTAGTATCTGCTATATGGCCCAAAGGAGCGCGTGCCAGAAGGGTGGGCACCAGGACGCTACCGCGGGCCTGGCGCGCTCTGGGCGGGTTCGGAGACGGTCTCAGATGGCCCGAGACGCTTTCAGACAGCCCAAGAGGTCGGCCCAACAGGGCCCCAGGACGGCCCACGAGTTCTCCAGGAGGCCCCCCAAGAGGGCCCCGAGAGGCGAACGTATCTGATGTCTCTCAAGTGTTTAGTGGATTCTGACGTTCAGCTACATGGATGGGAGCAGCGCGTGTGATACGGGCGGGCAGTGGCAGTGGTCCTTTTCGCTGTTAGTGAGATGTGTTTCCCGTTGCGTCGAGTCGAGCCCAGTTTTGTGTGGGGGAACCAGCTGCCTACGGCAGGTCCCGCCACCGTGCCAGCCCAGCATTCTAGATGGCGACTGTTCGAGGTGGAAGAGCCGTGATGAGGATGAGGGTGAGGGTCATGATGATGATGATGATGATGATGATGATGATGATGATGATGATGATGATGGTGATGGTGATGGTGATGGTGATGGTGATGGTGATGATGATGATGATGATGATGATGATGATGATGAGAATGCTGGTGGTGGTGGTGGCGGTGGTGGTGGTCAGGAGGATGGTTAGGACGATGATGGTGATGGTGATGGTTATGGTGATGGTGATCACGATGATTATGATGACGATTGAGATGATGATGATGATGGTGATGATGATGATGGTGGTGGTGGTGAGGATGATACTGATGATGATAATGGTGACAATGCTGCTGGCGATGACGCCGATGAAGATGCCGATGATGATGATGATGATGATGATGACGATGATGATGATGATGATGATTATTGTGATGATGCTGATGATGCTGATGATGATGATGA